CGCAAAAACACCCAGCTCCGATTCACACCCACAGATGTACAGTGCCACACAGACACCTACATGCACACAGGTGCCCCTGGGCACACAGACCTCCCCCTTTCCCCGGACTCTTACGTACGCCAACCCTCCTTGCACACCCAGCCCCACAGACGGCCGTGTCACCTGGCACCACGCGCCTGTCTGGGAGACACACACCAGCGCCCGCCCTCAACCTCTGTGTGACCTTCACAAAGCAAATGCCAGGACTTTCCATAAAGGCTGCCTGGCACCTCCTAGGAGCGAGCGGGTCAGGTGGAGTGGCGCAGGGATCCCGGGGAAGACACCAGGCCCCCCTGCCCTGTTTGTCTGCCTTGGGGGGAGACAGTGCAGCTTTGTAGTTCAGCTGCCCAAGTTCAAGTCCACGTTCTAGCACTAATAACCAAGTTATTCATCCTTTCTGTGCCTTGATTTCTTTGTCTGGAAAATGGTGCGTTAATGCGTGTCCAAGCATAGCACCTAGCATGTGGCGTTCAGTAACAGTTGGCGACATTCATTGTTATTATAATCTTTACCAACTGTGTTCCCTCCCCTGCCCACACTCCGCACATCCCAGCTCGTTTGTTTCCCATTGGTCCCTGCAGCAGACGTCTCCAAGGCCTGGATTGCCCCTGGGCTGCACACTCCCAGACGCTTGGGGAGTCCAGGCGGGCAGGCCTAGGGACCCCAGAGAGGTGGAAGCACAGGTAGCAACTTCATTTGAAAGTGCCACCAAATAAATGGTCAGCCTACCTAGGGGGAGTCTTGGACATGTCATTTCACCTTGAATGCAGTGTCTGGGTGCCTGGTTGTGATGTGGTTTGTGGCTTTGGATCCCATTGGGATGTCACCAGAGTGGCCTTTAGCCTGATTTGGGGGCCATCTTGAACAGTCAGAATGGCAGGCCAGGGAGCGGGGGCTCTCCATGGCCCAGGAGTCTGATTCTTGGGGATGGCTGAGACGCCCCCTCCCAACTCCCAGGCAGCAGCTGTACAGCCACAAACCCCTCCCCTTTTCCCTCCCTCAGCCCAGGGGACATCTTCCTGAAGCACAAACAGCAAGGCCCCAGGGAGTGTCCCTCTTCCCATCCAGGCCTTTGGGCCCCTGCTGACGTGAGCCGAGTCCCCTGGGGCTGGCGTATCTGCCAGCCATGCGAGTTGGGCGCCCTCTCGGGGGCCGGGGCTCACCTCCCCTAAAGTGCAATGTGGCTTCAGTTCCCGGCCCAGGGGGTCTTCTGTATGTAGGTATGTTCCTGTCCCCTCCCCTGGAGCCGAAAAATCCAGGCGGGGCCTTGGGAAACAGGCCATGGTTCTCAGGCAGTGAGGCCACCAACCCGTCACACCATCTCTGTGACTCAGTCTCCATCTGGAAAAGGGATACTAACAGAACCCGCCTCATAGAGGTGGTTGAAGACATAAATGGGTTAATGTACCTAAGGCACCTCAGTAGTGCCGGGCATACAGCAAGAACCCACTAAATGTCTTGTTGTTATTACTGTACACCTGAAAGGATCTAACCTGGCACCCAGTACACAGCAGGTGCTCAGTAAATGGGCATTATCATCAAAGGCCCAAGCTGGTGATCTGTGAGTATTCCACCTCAAGAGTGTTTTTTTTTGTTTGTTTGTTTGTTTTTTGAGACAGAGTCTCACTGTGTTGCCCGGGCTAGAGTGCCATGGCATCATCCTAGCTCACAGCAACCTCAAACTCCTGGGCTCAAGCGATCCTCCTGCCTCAGCCTCCTGAGTAGCTGGGACTACAGGCATGTGCCACCATGCCCAGCTAATTTTTTCTATATATATATCGTTGTCCAGATCATTTTTTCTATTTTTTAGTAGAGATGGGGTCTTGCTCTTGCTCAGGCTGGTCTCGAACCCCTGACCTTGAGCGATCCACCGGTCTCAGCCTCCCAGAGTGCTAGGATTACAGGCGTGAGCCACTGCGCCCGGCTCAAGAGTGTTTTTTAAAAATTTATTTTTAAAACTAACATATAGTAAAATTTGCCTTTTTTTTTTTTCTTTTTTTTAGACAGAGTCTTACTCTGTTGCCCTGGCTAGAGTGCCGTGGTGTCAGCCTAGCTCACAGCAACCTTAAACTCCTGGGCTCAAGTGATTCTCCTGCCTCAGCTTCCCGAGTGGCTGGGACTACAGGCACGTGCCACCACACTTGGCTAATTTTTTCTATTTTTAGTAGAGACAGGGTCTCGTTCTTGCTCAAGCTGGTCTCGAACTCCTGAGCTCAAATGATCCACCCGCCTCAGCTCCGAGTGCTAGGATTACAGGCGTGAGCCACCGCACCTGGCCTCTATGAAGTTTTTTTATTGTGGAAAATACACACAACAAAATGTACCATTTTAATTGTTTTTTCAGTATCCAGTTCAGTGGCATTAAGTACAAAATATTTAAAAATTAACTGGGCATGGTGTCTGTAGTCCCAGCTACTTGGGAGGCTGAGGCAGGAGGGTCACTTGAGCCCAGGAGTTGGAGGTTGCAGTGAGCTATGATGATGCCGCTGCACTCTAGCCTGGGAGACAGAGTAAGACCCTGTCTCAGTGAATAAATAAGAAAAACTGTCCTTTGAATGGTCTTGGGGGTTAGACTGGCCAGTGGACTTCAGGCTGTGCTCTGAGTGGGTTCAACGAGGGAGGGAGAGAGGATAGGAAACCCCTCCTTTCCAGTCCTACCAGTTGAGAGTCCAAGATTTTATTGGAGTGGTCCCACTGCTAAGAAATAAATTTGAATTCTCCTAGACCAAGACAGCAATCCCAGCTTCCATATATTGAATCTTTTTTTCTGGGCTAGTCTTGGGAAGTAGGAAGACTTCATTGACTTAATTTTCCTGGTGAAGAAACTAGGCTCAGATTGGAGAGTGATTAGCTCTTGGTCATACAACAAGATCAGAATTCGAACCCAGACCTTTTGACTCCTCTGACCAAAATGTTAACCAACTTGCCCTCTGCCTACTCGACCCTCATTAGAGTGTCTTCCCTCAGTGAGACCAAATGTCCCCAAGGCCAGGCAGCCAACATAAAATCAGAGTGGCGTCAGGCACGGTGGCTCATTCGTGTAATCCCAGCAACTCGGGAGGCTGAGGTGGGAGGATCACTTGAGGCCAAGAGTTGGAGACCAGCCTGGGCAACCTAGTGAGACCCTATCTCTGAAAAAATGAAAAAGAATTATCGAGGCACAGTGGCACATGCCTGTGTGCCTGTAGTCCCAGCTACTCCGGAGGCTGAGGCAGGAGGATCACTTGAGCTCAGGAGTTCAAGGCTGCAGTGAGCTATCATTATGCCACTGCACTCCAGCCTGGGGACAAAGTGAGACCTTATTTCTAAAAAACAAACAAACAACCCCCCCCACACAGATAAGTCACTGTGAAACTCCTGCTCTACAAAAGACACTGTCAAGCTCCAGACTGGGAGAAAAATATATGATAAAGGACTTGTATCCAAAATATACGATGAACCCTCAAATCTTAATAATAAAGAGACAAACAAGTGGAAAGGGATGGTTTCTATCCTCTCTGTAGCTGCGTCCTTGTCACCGTCCTCATCTGTATATCTGCTCCGGCCACGCCAGCAAAAATCGAATCCTGCCTCAGGGCCTTTGCACTTGCTGTTCCCTTGGCCTGGAGTGCTTTCTGCCACCTCCTGACTTGTGGCTGGCTCCTTCTCATCCTTCAAGCCCTGCTGACATGTCACCTCTTCATAGAGGCCTGTCCCAACCATGGCACAGCACAATCCAGTTCATTCATTCATTCATTCATATGTTTAATGATTCTTTGGGTGTCCACTGTGTGCCAGGCCACGTTCTTGGTCCCAGGGACACAGCAGCAAGCAATGTGGACAAAAATCCCTGCCCGACAGAGCTTAGTTTTAGAAGGGAAGTTAAATGGTAAAAATAAGTAAAATATAGATTATGCCAAGTAAGCAGGATGATTTGGGGGTTTGGGAGTTTTTGTTTGTTTGTTTTGGGTTTTTTTTGAGACAGAGTCTTGCTCTGTCCCCTGGGTAGAGTACAGTGGCATCATCACCATCATCATAGCTCACTGCAACCTCAAACTTTTGGGCTCAAGCGATCCTCCTGCCTCAGCCTCCTGAGTAGCTGGGACTACAGGCGCATGCCACTGTGCCCAGCTAATTTTTCTACTTTTTGAAGAGACAGGGTCTTGCTCTTGCTCAGACTGGTCTCGAACTCCTGACATCAAGCGATCCTCCTGCCTCAGCCTCCCAGAGTGCTAGGATTATAGGCGTGAGTCACCGCGCCTGGCCTTTTTTTTTTTTTTCCAGGAAGGGAAATAGGAAACATCAGGGCAGAGGTTGAAATTTTAGATAAGTTGTTCAGGGGAGGCTTCTCTGAGGAGGTGATATTTTAGCTGAGGACTGAAAGAGGTGAAAGAGGAGCCATTGGACATCTGGGCAGGAGAAACAGCCCGTGCAAAGGCCCTGAGGTAGGACCATGTACACAATGTTTAGGGAACATCGAGGAGGCTGGAGCAGAGTGAGTGGGAGGGGAGAGGGGGAAGGTCACGGGGCAGGACTTAGGTACTGCAGTGGGGACTTTGGTTCTTGCTCTGAGCAAGGTGTGAGGCATAGAAGGTTCTGACCAGAGGAGGGACTTGACCTCGCTCAGGTGTACACAAGCCCCCTCTGGTGGCCTTGGAAGGAATAGACTGGGGAACGAAGGAGGAGATGAGAAATGGACAGGTTCTGGATGGATTTGGGCCTCGAAGATGACTTGAGGTGCAAAGGAGACTGGATGAGCCCGCAACTTTTCGCCTTAGGGGGGTCCCCAGGACCAGCAATGGGGACTGGTGAGCATAGGTCCTCAGCAGGTGTTTGATCTCTGCAATGCCCTCCCATCTCTTTGGGGGTTTCTTTCTCTCCTTAACATCCTCCATCTGCCCCCCAATCTCTGCCAGGAACTTCCTGGCTTCCCTGACACCATGTCAGCACCCCCGACCCCTCTTCCCACCCACCCCTTGCAGCTTCGAGGCGGAAAATGGGCCAACGCCATCTCCGGGCCGCAGCCCCCTGGACTCGCAGGCGAGCCCGGGGCTCGTGCTGCACGCCGGGGCGGCCACCAGCCAGCGCCGGGAGTCCTTCCTGTACCGCTCAGACAGCGACTATGACATGTCACCCAAGACTATGTCCCGGAACTCATCAGTCACCAGCGAGGCGTGAGCACCCCCCCCCAGCTCCCCCATGGCCACCTGCTGAGGTGTGAGCCCTAAACCTGCTCAACCTCCTCCTCTCTTAGTGGGTCTTCCAGGTTCTGCCCCCACCCATCGAGGTACCCACCTCAGCCCCCTAAGTCGCTTTCCTGTCCTCTGCTCCCCCCACCAAGCCCAGCATATTCCTGTCTTGCCTCCCCAGATGACTCAGGGCTGGTCGCCTCTGCTCCCCCACCCTCCTGAGCCACCCTCCCTGACTGCCATTCCCTCCTCTGCCAGCTCTGGAAGCGTGTCCACCCTCGTGCGGGATAAATGCCCTCTCCCCCGGCCCCACAGAGTCCCCTCCCTGGGTCCAGCCCTCACAGAGTTGCTTCTCTGGGGACCGCTGATTTGCCACTGTCCTTGGTTTCAGGCACGCTGAGGACCTCATCGTAACGCCATTTGCCCAGGTGAGACCTCCTTCGCCAATGGTTGAGGAGAGAAAGGGCTCCAACCTTCCCCTCCACTTGGGGACAGGCCCAGCCCCGCTGCCCCTCAGGGTAGACACTCACTGCTCCTGTCCTTCCCAGGTGCTGGCCAGTCTCCGGAGTGTTCGCAGCAACTTCTCTCTCCTGACCAATGTGCCCATTCCCAGCAACAAGTAAGTTGAGGCTGGGCCCCAACACTCATGATCATGAGGCCAAGCACACCTGGGTTCAACTCTAAGCCATGCTGAGTGACCTTGGGCAGCCACTTGACCTCTCTGAATCTCTAGTCAGCCAACAAATCTCTTCGAGCCAGAGAGCCATTGTGGTTCAAGGGCCTAAGACACAGAAGCTTTTATAAGTAAAAACCTAGGAGTCCAGGTGCACAGTAGTGAGGCCACAGCCCCAATCCCAGGGCCACTCAGGGTCCTGACACCAATTTGCTGGACAAATGACATCCTGTGGCACTTCTGTTCCCCTCTGTAAAGACAGAATCACAATAATGCCTCCCTTAGATAACTGCTAGGAGGAATCCAGGAGATGGTATACAGCAAATGCTAGAACACTGCCTTACACATAGTATGTGCTCAGTAAATAGGAGTGGTTCTTATTATTTTAGAGAAAGATAATAAATAAATAATTATTATTTAGGGACCGTGGCTGAGAGCTGCCAGTTCCTCTGGGGGTTGGGAGCAGAGCCATCCTTAGAGGGGTGGAGGAATTTGAGGCGTGCAGTCAAGGGAGCAGAGACCTGACCCTAATTCAGATCGGCCTCAGTTTCCTCATCTGTAAAATGGGTTCTGCTGGGGATCGTTGAGAGGCTGCAGGCAGAGGACATGGCAGCATGCCTGGGACAACAGTGAGCACTAAGAAAAAGGAGAATTAGCACTGTTTATGGAGAGGGGAAGGGAGGGATCTAGGGGTGCCCAGGCTGATGGAGCCCCCATTTCTTTGCAGGAGGTCCCCGCTGGGTGGCCCAACCCCTGTCTGCAAGGCCACGCTGTCAGGTAGCTAAGCCCTGGGGGGTGGGAAAGGGCCCCTCAGCTGCCCCAGTGGAGAGTCCCCCACCCCAGGTGGCTGTCTCAGCTCCTTCCCCAGCACCCCACTCACCTGGCGGGGATCACCACAGGCTGGGGTCTCTGGGAGTCTGCCTGTAGACCTTCTCAATCACCACCCCGGCTGCCCCTTCCCCAGAGGAGACGTGTCAGCAGTTGGCCCGGGAGACATTGGAGGAGCTGGACTGGTGTCTGGAGCAGTTGGAGACCATGCAGACCTACCGCTCTGTCAGCGAGATGGCCTCCCACAAGGTGTGCAGGTGGCGCAGTGGGCAGACCACCGGGGCAGAGCTGGTGGGGGCGGGGCCAGTTGGGCGTGGTGGGTGGGTGGAGCCAACTGCTAGGCTGGTTCCCACTTGTGGGTGGGAATAACCACTGGGCGTGGCTGATGGGGTGGGGCCAATCACTGGGTAAGGCCTATAGGATGAGGCCAATCCCCGGGCAGGACTGGTGGGGGCAGGGCTATGGTGGAGCCAACCATAAGGTTGGGTCTGTGGGAGGGGCTGGCCACTGGGTGTGGCTGATGAGGGCGTGGCCAATCCCTGGGTAGGGCCAATGGGATGAGGCCAGTCCCTGGGCGGGGCCAACCCTACCCTTGGGTGGCAGCTTCAAGATTTGTAGCTTCCTCTGTATTCTGACTTTCTCCAGGGATGGAGCAGCCTGGTGTGGGTGTGTGTGTGTGCGTCTGGTTGTAGGTATGTCAGTAGGTGACCACCGTCTATCCCCAGGAGGTTGTATGCTTTTGTGATCCATGGGTGTGCATCTGTGGCTATGCGTCTGTGTAGCTGTTGATTTGGCGGCTACCCATTTGCAGCACTGGTGTGTTCCAAGCCTACTCTGAGGAGTGGCACACAGATGTGTACCTGTGGGGGGGGGGAGTGTCCACAGATGATTATGCAGGGTTAACTGTGTGGGCTGTGTCTGCAGGTGTGGGTTGGTCCAGGTCAGAATCTGAGTGTGTATCTATCTCAATGTATTCATGACTGTGTGTGTGTTCGCAGGGCTGCAGTAGAGGCTACAAGGCTCCCATGTGCAGTTGTGTAGACTGTGCACTGCACAACTCCAGGGGGCACCATTCAGAAAGCAGGCAGTATGAATGATGCCTCCTGGAGTTGCACAGCGTGGTGGCAGCCCTCGTGGGTGGGTGCCTATCAGGAAATAATTTGCAAGTGGGGGTGTGTGTGTTGGGGGGTGCATATGTCAGTGGGTGGTGAAGGCTTGTTTGAGAACATGCAAGTCCAAAAACGATTGTGTCCCCGAGGATGGGTCAAGCATCTGAAATTGTGACTGTGTCTCTGGGTATGGGGTCTGCAGGTATTTCTGCAATGGTGCATGCGTGTGTGTGTATTTGTGCATTTGTGAGTGTGAGTATTCCCTTATGGATGTCAGTGTATGTCTGTGTCCAGGGGCATATGGATATTCGTGTTGATTGGAAAGTGTGTCTGTGGGTGTGTTGAGTGTGTATCTATAAGTGTGGCTGGTATCTTAGGTGTTTGTCCCTAGGTGTGTACTGGGTGTGGTTCTATGTCCTTGGAAGGGGCATGTCTAAAGGCATTTGTGTCACTGCATGCTCAGCTGTGGACCAGTAAATGTGTCTCCAGGTGTGTGTGTGTGTGCGCACACGTGTGCGTGATGTAAGTGTGGGACTAAAAGCATTTGGGAATCTGTGTGTGTTCAATTGTGTTTGAGTGTCAAGTGTCTGGGTGTGTGTCAGTGTCCATGGAACATCTCAGGATGTTTGTTGTGTCTGTGAGTGTATGGACTGTCTGAGCGTGTGTTTCCATCTCTGGGTGTGTTCATGGAGGGGACGTGTCCTCACAGGGGCAGTCCCACCTGGGTTCTGGCTGAGGCCCGTGGGCTCTGATGCCCCTTTAACGCCCCCCCACCCCCAGCACCACCTGACGTCGCATGCAGCCTGCCAGTGCTGCAGTGAGCACGCACACGCACACACACGGAGCCCCGAGCCTCTGCAGCCTCCTCTTGGGACCCTTGCCCTGCTCCCCCCATGGGCAGGGGCCCCCCACCTCCTCCAGCCACTGCCTCCAGGGGGCCCATCAGGGCTGGGGGCTGGCAGACCATGTAACCAGGGCTGCCACCGGGAGCGCGGAGGGGAAGGGAGCCCCCAGCCCTGCTGGGCCGGCCCAGGCCCCTCCGCGGCTCCCCCTTCACTACCCACCCGCCCAGCACCACCCCCGGTGGCCGTTAGTCCCGGGCCTCCCCAAGCCCAGCCTCTGCGTCCGGCAGCCCCGAGCGGGGCTAAGGCTCCAAGATGCCCTTGGTGGATTTCTTCTGTGAGACCTGCTCCAAGCCGTGGCTGGTGGGCTGGTGGGACCAGGTAGGGGGACGCAGGGTGCAGGGTGGGCAGGAGCCCCAGGCAAGCAGGGCCAGACCTGCTGGCCCCTGATGTGGGCTTGTGTGTCCAGCTGTGCACGTGTGTGGCCTGAAGATGAAGGCTGTGACTATCACTGTGTGTGGCCCGGGGCTGGGCGTGGATGGCGGGTAGTTGGGGGTGTGTGACTCTCTGGGGGGGATGTTGGGTCTCCTGACGGGTGTGACTGTGTCAGCGCCTGGATGTGTGTTGTGTCTGTGATGGTGTGTGTCCACCTGACCATATGCTTGTCTGCCTGGGTCATGGTGTGGCCCTGTGTCTGAGATCATATGGTTCCCACTGTGGTGTTGTGTGTTGGGCCGTGTCTGTGAGCCTGGAGCTGCCTGATGTTTCTGGGGCATGTGACCCCGAATGTCACTGGTTGCCTTGCTGTGTGCCCTCTGATTTGTGTGTCTGGACTATGTGATGCCGTGTAGGACTGGGAGCCTAGAACTCTGTGTGCAGTTGTGTGAGATGTTGTGGGTCCATCTGTGTGTGTGTGTGTGTGTGTGTGTGTGTGTGTGTGTCTTTCTGTGTGCCCAGGGTCTCTGACAGAGGAGTGAGTGCCCATCCCAGTATCAGCCATACAGGCTCGCCCTTCCTGCCCAGTGTCCCTGACACAGTCTGCTCCTGCTTTGGGGGTGCCTTGGCAGAGCTTGGGGGTGGGGAGCTGATGCCCTTTTTCCTCCAGGCACAATGTCACAGCAGAGGACTGTGACAAGTGGCATGGGGTGGCCCAGGAGGGGCCCTCAAGCCCCATTTGGGGTATACTCCATTCATCTGTGTATCCATCTACCTCCCTGGGGTTGGGGGAGAGGGGGCTATGATGGGAACCCCCTTCCCCATCCCCTGGGTGAACAGACTGGGGTTTCCTCATCTCACCATTTTCCCCTGCCCCGGCCAAATGTCTTCTTCCCCCAGAGCTTGAGTACTGTGTTCTCTTCTTCCAAACTGGGCTAGGGGCTGGGGTCAGGACCCCCAGGATTGGGGACCACATCTGGCACGACACGGGCCAGGGGTAGCTCTGGGAAAGCAAGGGTTAAGGGGCTGCTGGCCTGCCCCCCTTTCCCCCAGCTCAGCAGCTGGTTGGAGGGGGAGTTGCTAAGGAGACTCCCATTGCCATGGCGACGGGATTCTCCTGCTACCCCATTGGTTCCCTGTTAGGCAGCAGCCCCTCCCTTCCACAGGTGCCCCTCTGGCTTCTCCTTGGGTTGAATGGGGAGGGGAGCCCCTCTTTCCTCAGGCAGGGAGGGGTGTGCTGATCTGGAACCCCCCAAGCCTGGGGACCCCCATCTGGAAATGGGAGGGGAGGGAGGGCTGACCCTCCCCCCTAGCAGCCTAGTAGGGGCTCTGCTGTCTGAGCAGAGAAATAGGAGGAACCCATGGGGTCTTCAGGAGTTTTTTGGGAGGGACTGACACCCACAGGCACACTCTGCGATTCCCCCATCATCCCTTCCTTCTTGACTCCTTCGCCTTAGTTCAAGAGGATGCTGAACCGTGAACTCACACACCTGTCAGAAATGAGCAGGTCAGGAAACCAGGTGTCAGAGTACATTTCCACAACGTTCCTGGGTGAGTGAGGGGCAGCACGTGGGGTGGGGGGGGCTGGAGGAGGCTGCCCCCGACCCTGGGTCTTATTGCCCATATTTTCCCAGGGACCCTGACTCTTAACTGCCCAAAGATTAAAGTAACCACACTCAAGAACTCCCGTACTTGGGATGCCCCCAAACTCATTGGGACCCCAACTTCTATAGAATCCCACATTTGAAAACATCTATGAGCTTAAAACCCCCTGCAAACTCAGTGGAACTCCAATGGATCTCTCAAACTTAAGACCCTAAGAGACCTCAAACTCAAATACAATTCTTAAACTTTAAAAAGCCTACCAGCTGAGGCTGGGCTCAGTGGTTCATGCCTATAATCCCAGCTCTTTGTGGGGGCTGAGGCAGGAGGATCACTTGAGGCCAGGAGTTTGAGACCAGCCTGGGCAACATAGCAAGACCCTATCTCTACAAAAAAATTAAAAATTTAGCCAGGCAGGTTGGTGCATGCCTGTAGTCTCAGCTACTCAGGATTTGAGGCAGAAGGATCACTTGAGCCCAGGAGTCTGAGGCTGCAGTGAGCTATGCCATTGCACTCCAGCCTGGTGACAGAGCAAGACCTGTATCAAAAAACAAAAAAAGCTCTTACCTGAAAAGCCTCCCGAACTCAATGGAACCCCAAATTCAATGGAATCAACAAACTTGGATTATACTCCCTGATCTCAGAAGAACCCCCCCCAAACTCAAGAGAGATGCCCAAATCAGCAGGGTTCTTAAACTTAAGAGAATCTCTGTGCTTCACAGCCCACAAAAGACCCCCAAACTTTAGCCAACTTCCAAGCTGAAAAACCCCTCAAATTCAGTAGAATTTCCAAACTTGATATGAACCCGCCCCCCCAAATTCAGTAGATTCCCAAAACTTTAGATCCCCTAACCCAATAGGATTCTCAACCTTAAGCACCTGTAAGAGATTCCCTAAACTTAGGAGAATTTCCTAACTCAATGGAACCCCAAATAGAGGAGACTACCTCAAACTCATTGGAACCCTTAAGCCTCATGGGTACCTCAAATCATCCTAACCTCTGAATCTAAGATCCCCCAAGCTAAGGATATCCTTCTAAACTCAGGAAAATTTGATCCTCACAATTTACTGCCAAAACCCAAAGGTACCCCAATTCAGGAGCCGCCCACACAAGCTCCAGAAATGTGTTCAGGGTTTTAAATGCTCCTACCAATGAGGGCGTGATATCTCAGAATTCTGAAGATCCAGCCAATGGGAGCATGGCATGCAAATGACCCTATTCCCCCATCATTGACTGGCAGCCCCAGGTCACAATGGGTGGCCTTGGCCGGGCTCTGGAAGCCCTTGAAAGCTCAGGAAAAGTGTTCCTGGGGCTGGGACCCAGGCAAGGTGGTGCCAAGGGGGTGGGCCATGGAGCCAGAGACCTCTCTTCCCTCTCTCATCCCAGCGAGGCTGCCCACAACCAGCAGTCTTGGCCACCCTGGAGATGTCTTCCCTGCCCTAGACCATTCCCTGGGTGTCCCAGGCAGGCAGCGGCTTTCCCCAGCTTCGGTACCCCACTCCCTGACTTCCCATGCCACCCTCCAGCCAAACCTGGTGATCGGACTGGGGCCATTCCACAGCCCTGGGCCAGCCCCAGGGTCCCCATTCCAGCCCACCGCCTCCCAGAAGAATTCCTATGTCCCCTCTGGCTTCCAGCCTCTGAGTAGCCATCAGCATGACACCCAGAAGGTGTCTGTCCTTTTGAGTGAGGCTTCCCAGTACATGGCAGTAGGCTAGAGGGATAAGGGGAGCCCCCGGGGCTGGTGGGCGTCGGGGAGTGCTCAATGCTTTTGCCCCCACCTTCTGCAGACAAACAGAATGAAGTAGAGATCCCATCACCCACAATGAAGGAGCGAGAAAAACAGCAAGTGCAGCGGCAGAGACCCTCCCAGCAGCCCCCGCCCCCTGTGCCGCATCTCCAGCCCATGTCTCAGATCACAGGGGTGAAAAAGTTGACGCACAGCAGCGTGAACAACTCTAGCATCCCCCGCTTTGGGGTGAAGACAGACCAAGAAGAGCTCCTGGCACAAGTGTGTGGGGGATGGGGGCTGGGCTGGAGTGGCACAGGGGTCTCCTGGGGCCCAAAGGAGGACTGGCTGTTGGGTCATATGTTAAGCCAGGTTCCCTAGAAGCAGAGGCTGAGCTGAGGATTTGGGGGGATACCTGCTTTATGGAGAGGGGCTTCAGGAGGGAGGGGGTTAAGGAAGAATGGAAGGAAGCTGAGACCAGGCGCAGTGGCTCACACCTGTAATCCCAGCACTTTGGGAGGCCGAGATGGGAGATTGCTTGAGGCCAGGAGTTCAAGACCAGTCTGGGCAACATAGCCAGACCCTGTCTCTACAAAAAAAATAGAAAAATTAACTGGGCATGATAGTGCTGTAGCCCCAGCTACTCGGGAGGCTGAGGTAGGAGGATCGCTTGAGCTCAGGAGTTCAAAGCTGCAGTGAGCTATGATTGCACCACTGCAATCTAGCCTGAGTGACAGAGCAAGGCCTTGTCTCTTTAAAAAATAAAGAAACCAAGCAAGGAAGTAGTCTCAGCTGGAGTCTCCCATATCAGCGATTGTCTGGGGGCTGCCCCAGAGGTGGGCAGCATCGCCCCTTCCAGCAGCTCCCGTGGGAGCAAGAGGAGTTTTCTGGAGAAAGGGGTAGCCATGAGCCTTAACAGGCAACATCCCAGCCACTGGGGGATTGGTGCACAGGCCAGTGCCATGGGTCTGGTCAGAGGTGTGCTGTTGAACATGTCACCCACTGGGGGAGCAGTGATGGTGCTCCCTTCAGACCAGGGCTGCAAAGTCCTACGAAATGTTCTCGAGGGCCCTGGGCCTTGCAGGCTCCTGACCTCTGGCCTTTCGTCTCCCCCAGGAACTGGAGAACCTGAACAAGTGGGGCCTCAACATCTTTTGCGTGTCAGACTATGCGGGAGGTCGCTCCCTAAGTTGCATCATGTATACGATATTCCAGGTGATGCGGGCAGTGGGGAATGGGCCAGGGTGTGGGGGGTGGCACTGAGGGGTGGCAGGGGTCACTACCCTGCCCCTGCTGGCCCTCAGGAGCGGGACCTGCTGAAGAAATTCCGCATCCCTGTGGACACGATGGTGACATATATGCTGACGCTGGAGGACCACTACCACGCCGACGTGGCCTACCACAACAGCCTGCACGCGGCCGACGTGCTGCAGTCCACCCACGTGCTGCTGGCCACGCCTGCGCTGGATGTGAGCGCCTGCCACCTGCCCTGTCTCCCCGAACCCTGGCTCTCTTTGTGTCACTAACTGCCCATCTCCAATGTCTTGCTTGTCTCTCTGATCCTGTGTCCTCCATTTCTCTGTGACCCCATTCTTGATTCCTCATCTCTCTCTCCAGACTTCTAATTTGTTCGTTGGGAGTTTTTCATTTGTTTGTTTTTCTTTCTTTTTTTTTTTTCTCTTAGATTCAGTCCTGGATTTTTGTTTATTTTTTGAGACAAGGTCTTACTCTGTCGCCCAGGCTGGAGTGCAGTGGTGTCATCACAGCTCACTGCAGCCTCCAACTCCTGGGCTCAAGCCATCCCCCTGCCCCAGCCTCCTGAGTAGCTGGGACAACAGGCGTGTGCCACCACACCCAGCTAATTTTTCTTATTTTTTGTAGAAACGAGGTCTCGCTATGTTGCCCAGGCTGGGACTCCTGTCTTTCTTGACACTCCTCTCCTACAGTCTCACTCTGACCCCCTCATCCCTCTTTTGCCCTGTCTGTCTCACGTCCATCATTCTAACATCTGTCTCTCTCTGCTCCCAGGCCGTGTTTACGGACCTGGAGATTCTTGCTGCTCTGTTTGCGGCTGCCATTCATGACGTGGATCATCCTGGGGTCTCCAACCAGTTCCTCATTAACACCAGTGAGTGGTCCTCCCCGGGGGTGGGGCCTGCCAGGCTAGGGGAGGGATCAGCTGGGTTGGGGTGGGGCTGGGGCGGGGCCTACAGGGCTGGGGGCGGGATTGGCTGAGTTGAGAGCAGGGCTGGGGCGGGGCCTGCCAGGCTAGGGGCGGGATCAGCTGGGTTGGGTTGGGGCAGGGGCGGGGCCTGCCAAGCTGGGGGCGGAGCTGCCCACGTGGGCCTTCCCCTGATTGCCGAGGCCGGGCCGCAGATTCGGAGCTGGCGCTCATGTACAATGACGAGTCGGTGCTCGAGAATCACCACCTGGCCGTGGGCTTCAAGCTGCTGCAGGAGGACAACTGCGACATTTTCCAGAACCTCACCAAGCGCCAGCGACAGAGCCTGCGCAAGATGGTCATCGACATGGTGGGCGTGGCAGGAGCAGGGGCAGGGGCACATCGGGAAAGGAATCCTTCCAGTCCTGGGCTTTGGGGAGGGGCAGATCTGAGTCCCAAAGGAACCCTCTGAAACCTGATTGGTCTGGTGGGTGGGCTTCAGTGGCCCTTCTGATGCCCCCTTGCCCACAGGTGCTGGCCACAGACATGTCTAAGCACATGACCCTCCTGGCTGACCTGAAGACCATGGTGGAGACCAAGAAAGTGACCAGCTCGGGGGTCCTCCTGCTGGACAACTACTCCGACCGCATCCAGGTGCCCCCCTTACCATATAAGGAGATCGGACCCTTCTCTCCATCTCCCCCCACATTGTCCCCACCTCTCTCCATCTCTCCCCACCACCTCTTGTCCCTCTTCTCCCCACGCCCCGACCCCCTTTCCAAGTGCGAGACAAGAAATCTTGGGGCTCCAGACCGCACAGAGGCACAGCCTCTGAGAGTCCTCCACCCATCTCCCCACCCATGCAGGTCCTTCGGAACATGGTGCACTGCGCGGACCTCAGCAACCCCACCAAGCCACTGGAGCTGTACCGCCAGTGGACAGACCGCATCATGGCCGAGTTCTTCCAGCAGGGCGACCGTGAGCGTGAACGTGGCATGGAGATCAGCCCCATGTGCGACAAGCACACGGCCTCCGTGGAGAAGTCTCAGGTACAGGCTCTAAAGGTCCTAAAGTGTGACATGAGATTTTCTCACCCTCCCCACTTTCTGTCCTGCCTGAAGAAACACAGCCTCCTTGGTTTGACATGTCTGCCCTTCCAGACCTGGGGCTTTCATCCTCAGGAACGCTTCTTGTGGTCACAGATGTTGTCAAAGCTCCAGCCATTCTGGCTACATTCCAGCGGGGAAAGGCCTGTGCCAGCAGAGGCAGTCCCCAGCATCTTCCATCTACAGGTGGTCACATGGCCATCATCTCTTTGCAAAGGAGCCTGGGAGATGTAGGTTTTAGCTGGATCCATTTCCTCCCACAAGAAAAATCAAGGTGCTGTCACTAAGCAGAAGCGATGATATCTGAGCAGCAGTATCCCATGAAGTTATTTCTAGTGTCTCTTTCTTGCAAAAAATACCATAATGAATATCTGTGATGTACCATGATTTTTTTTTAAGAGACAGGGTCTCACTCTGTCACCCAGGCTGGCGTGCAAGTGGCACGATCATAGCTCACTGCAGCTCGAACTCCTGGGCTCAAGTGATCCTCCTGCCTCAGCCTCCTGAGTAGCTGGGACTACAGGTGTGAGCCACCAGGCCCGGCTAATGTTGTTTTCATCTTTCTAGAGACAGGAGTCTTGCTATGTTGCCCAGGATTTGTTTGTTAACTAATCCTCAATCGCTGTATATATGGAGGTGTTTCCGGTTTTTGTTTACATCTCGTATATGACTTTTTTCCTTGCACAAGTTTTTCCAGGGAGTCGCAAGATGGCTATGTCAAATAGTACAAGCATGCTTTTCATTTTATTAGTCCCCACAACATAGTGGTGCCATCTGCCCCAGGAGCCAGCTGTTTATACCCTCTCCCCCCTCCCCCAGGTGGGTTTCATCGACTACATTGTGCACCCGTTGTGGGAGACATGGGCGGACCTCGTGCACCCAGATGCCCAGGAGATCCTAGACACACTGGAGGACAACCGGGACTGGTACTACAGTGCCATCCGGCAGAGCCCGTCGCCACCGCCCGAGGAGGATCCAGGGGGGCCAGGCCACCCACCCCCACCTGACAAGTTCCAGTTTGAGCTGACACTGGAGGAAGAAGAGGAGGAGGAAATATCTGCAGCCCAGATACCGTCCCCGGCCCAGGATGCAATGGAAGGCCAGGGATTGTCCGCCACCGAGGAAGGATCCCCAACTCTGGATGAGACCACAGCCCAGCCTGCATTCTCATCAGAGGAACAGAACATGTCCCCCGAGATCGAGGTAGAGGAGGTGTATGTGCTGGAGCAGCCACACTCAGAAGGTGGTGCACCTATAGCCCAGGATGAGCCCCTGTGCCAGGAGGGATCGGTGGATGTCGTAAGCTGCAGCAGCCCCCCTGCCCTGTGTCTTGGAAACCCCCTTCTGCCTGCCTTGAGGACCCCGTCCATTTCAGAGGAGGCCCCGGGCCTCCCGGGCCTCCCCTCCACGGCGGCCGAGGTGGGGGCCCAAAGAGAGCATCAGGCTGCCAAGAGGGCTTGCAGTGCCTGCACAGGGACCTCTGGGGAGGAGCCCCCGACACTCCCAGCTCCTGGTGGCTGGGAGTCAGGTGGAGACCCCACCTGATCCCTAGCCCATGCTCCCTGTGGCCCTCCCTGCTCCCCTGTCCCCACCTGCCCCCACGACCACCTCCTCCTCCTCCGCTGCCTCAAAGACACTCGGCCCTCCTGAGAAAAAAGAAAACAGAAAAGTGGGTTTTTTTCTCTTTTCTTTTTTTCCCCTTTCCCCCCACCCCCACCCATGGGGCCCTTTTTTGGAGGTGGGGGCTGGGGAATGAGGGGCTGAGGTCCCAGAAGGGATTTTATTTTTTGAATTTTAATTGTAACATTTTTAGAAAAAGAACAAAAAAAAAGAAAAAAAAAAAGGATGCAACACAGCAACTGTAGACGCTCCTGTTCCTGGTTCTCCTTTTGCACCTCCAAACCCCTCCCCTTCTTCCCCTCATCCCCCCACCCCCGCCAAGTTCAGGGCTGAGTCTTCCGGGCCTCTTAGACCTCTGCACCTGGGCCCAACAGGCTGTGGCGCCTCATTCTAGGCTTTTCTTCTGAATTTTGGAGGGTCTCTTGAAGCCAGCCAGGAAAAGCCATTCTGGGCAGGGGCTGGGGGGGCGGTGGGGGTGGGTTTCATTCTGGGAGGCCCCAGCTCCAGCCCCTCTCTGGCTCCTTGCCCCGCCCCCCAACAAAAGTCTTCCGCCTCATTTTGCACAACCCCGGCAATGCTGACTAGGGGGTCAGCGAGCCGGGGGAGCTGTTCACTTTAGGACGCAGGGGGTGGTGGCGCAGGCGGTGGTGTCTTCAGAAGGGCCTCGGGCCTGAGATTTGAGGAGGGCCTGACCCCCCCTGCTTGCCACCCCCTTTCCCCTCCCAGTTTGGGTTCACTTTGAATTTTCTCCGTTTGGGAAGGGGGGCGGCTCTGATCTGGGCACACGCACCCCTCCCCCCTTCCAGCTGCTTGTCCTCTTGTTTCTGCCTTAATGATTTCCATGGCCATAGGAGAAGGGGGTTGCAGTGGCTCCCACCTGCACCTTGGGTGCAGGCCCAGAGCCCCCATCCTGGCTGTCCCCACCCCCTTTCCCAGCATCCTCCTTACTCCCTTCCAGACTCTGACCATAGCCCCCGACCCTTTGCCCTAGGAGGAAGCAATAATGGTGTATACCCTCGTCCCCCATCCTGGGCAACCCTTCCCACCCTGCCACCAAAGTAATTTCTCCTTTGGCCTGACCTTGCCTTGCCCATCCTCTCCCTACCCCACCTCCACCCCGCAGCTAGCCCCTGAGCAATACCACAGACAGATGCAAGGCCATTTTTCTCCAAGCCATGGCGGACTGTTTGGAAGGAAAGACACCGCCCCCATCCCCCAGGCCCCATCCCCGCACCCCTCAGCCTGGTTCTGCCATTAGGCAGAGCAGGGACTGTCTCATTCGTTGCCTGCCCCCACCCAATCTGAGCACACGGTACTGTAGCCCCCAATTTCTCCCTAGCCTTCCATCTGTCTGTCCCCCCTCCCCCGTGGGGAGTAACCTCCACTCCGCCGCCCCCACGATGCTGTACAGGGTTCATTTTTGTAGCGAAGGTAGTTTCCGTCCCAGCAGGCAACCGGAGTGGGCTTTTTCTTTCTTTTCTTTTCGTTCGTACTTTTTCTTTTTTGTTTCTTTTTGTACATAACTGTAAGGTTGGTTTGTAAATTATTCTACAGAGGCAAAAAGGGAAAATAAACTTGCCCTTCCCTGGCTAACCCCGTCGGGAAGGTAGGGAGGGGGTCTCCCGGAAAGAGAGACTCCGCTCCTGCTGTATTATACAAATTGTACCATAGTCCCGGGGACGGGTGGACTCACTACCGCTGCTGTTTTTACGGGAAGTCGTGTCATCACAGGGGGCGAGGGCTGGGCAGAGCCTGCCACCTCCCCCTTCCCCAGGATCCAGGGGGTGACTCATGAGACGGACCCCCACCCCCAATCAGGGCTCCTCTCCCCAGGGTGGGTGCAGGACCCTGTGAGCTGCTTGTGTGTTGTCCACTTCGGCGATCAATAATTCGGTCTGTTGATCGATAATCCTTCGATCTTGTCTCCAATTAAATTGAGGCTTTCACTGATTGTCCGGGCTGACTGTGGTTTCATTCCTCACCTTGTATGTTGAGGTGCCTCCTTCCTGCAGTGTCTGCTTGAGTAGGGGAGGGGGGCTCTATCACTACCTGCCCCCAGGCAAGTGGAATTGTGACTAGAACTCAGCCAGAGGTGGCCCCCCAAGCCTGGGCCAGGTTAGAAAATGGAATTTCAGACTATGCAATCTTTCAGCGTCAACAGACAAGCCCCACTTCTTGTACTCAAAGTGTGTCTGATGCAACTTTTGAGTTCTGGGAACTGGCAGTTACTCCTGGAAAACTCAAGGGGGCCACATAGATGCCACCTCCACTATCCGGCTACCAGGTTATGATGAAATGTCTCAGACTAAATTCTAGCAGGCAGACATTAAACTTGATGAATAGGCACAAAAGAATTTACACCTGTAAGTTGCATGAATTCATAGCATTCTGTCCTTGCTGGTGTTGCAATCTTCACACTGCATTTAAAAAAAGAAAGAAAGAAAGAAAGAAAGTGAATATCTCAAAGGCAGAATTCTGTGTCCCTTCGAGCCTGTAAGCTTTATGAATAGCAGGGAAGTTGAATTCTACAAACAGCCGGACACAGGATGACTCAGGATTTACACACTGTTTTTCTAATCTGTGCATGCAAATGAATCTCAGATATTTTAACCAATCCACATATTTGGTGGTTTTCGGTTTTTAGAGGTTTTTTTGGGTCAGGATTAAATAAGCTGATACATGTTAAACACAAAAAGTTTAAGTGTTACGTTCTTTTTTTTTTTTTTAAGAGATGGGATCTTCCTATGTTGCCCAGGCTGGTCTCAAACTTGAACTCCCTGGGGCTGAAGCAAATCCTTCAACCTCAGCCTCCTCAGTAGCTGGGACTACAGGTGTGTGCCAAAATGCCTGGCCCAATCCACATATTTGAATACTGCTAATTCCACCTATGCGAGCCCATCTTTCCAACATTTATTAGGCTGATTAACAAGGCCCTGGTTTCACCCGTAAAACAGTTCTGACACTTAGTATGCTCATGTGCAAAAATTCTGACTTTGGGGAAAGATATGGATAGTGGAAATGGTTGTGATGTGGACTTTGATTAGAATACTGGCTGCCTCGGGTTTAACAAACCAAGATACACATGGACACACACGTAGCGCTTGCAGGCACACTGGGAGGGCTAGATGTATACATTCATAACACGTATGTCGTGAAACAAAACGAACGCATCTTGCCTGAGTCCAAGACACGGTTGACCCACCTACTTTGGCATTCGTCTCCAGTCTCCAAGGCCTCTGGGTTTGATTTCAGCTCAAGCTGGGTGACCTTGGGGTGATCTCTCTGAGCTTCAGCTGTTTCATCTATAAAATGGGGCTAGCAACACCCCCAGACCGACAGGGTTGCTCTAGAGTAGAGCTATCCGATAAAACTCCCTACGATGCTAAGAATGTTCTATATCTGTGCTACCCAACAAGTAAGCTACCAGTCACATGTGGCTATCGAGCAGTTGCATGAGGCCAGTGCAACTGAAGGACTGGAGTTTTGATTTTTCCTTTCCACGGAGTAGCCACGTGTGGCCAGGGGCTACTCTATTGGACTGTGCTATTCTGGAACTGGAGCTAGATTTAGTGGAAAGGATTTTAGGCTGCACAAAAAGAGTTCTGCTTGACAGTGGCTGTAAAGATTCACAGTAGATATCATGGCCCAAAGGAGTGGGGCCAGCCTGGACCCAGAGGGGAGAAGCAATGCTGGGAAACTAGGTAGAAGTTTTCAGGGAATCTGAACTTTGTGCAAGAAGCCAAGAAGAGACACACACATTGTCCCCAGGGTGTTTCAAAGGGAGAGAGAGTCGGGGAAAGGGTGTTAGGCTGGAGGTCAGGAGGCTACAGCATCAATCCCAGCCAGCAGGGGATGGTAGATGCCCCTGGGTGAGACTTCTTGCTCCAAGCCTCAGTTTCCCCAAGTATAAAAGGGCAGATGTGATGTCCCAAACATCACATTTATTGGGACATGGTGACAGACTGAGAAGGTAGATCAAAGGGTACGGATGGTATGTGACCACCAGCTGGCTCTTTAAAATCCCCCCAGGTGGAGAGTTCATCTTTCTTCAGGCAAAGGTGACCAAGGGCAGTGGGGCCTTGTATCTGAACAGCCTGGGGGGATCTGGGGAAGGGGGTGAAGCTGGTTTATTCTCTGAAGTTGACATCAAGGCCAGGCATGGTGGCTCAGGCCTATAATGCCAGCACGTTGGGAGGCCAAGGCAGGTGGATCGCTTGAGGCCAGGAGTTTGAGACCAGCCTGGGCAATATAGCAAGACCCCATCTCTTAAAAAAAAAAAAAAAGAAGAAGGAAAGGAAGGAAGAAAAATAAAGTGGACATCAACTGCTTGCAGGCTATGTGGTCTTGGGCAAATGACTCCACCTCTCCCAGCCTTTAGAGAGCCCTGCCCTGTGCTGAACTTTCTAGGTGGGTTAACTCATTGACTCTCCAGCTGCCCTTGAGATAGCCACTATCATCAGCTCCATTTTGCAGATGAGCAAACTGAGGACTTGGATGAGATCACACAGTGTGGAGAAAATTCAGGGAAATGAGGCCGGGATCTTGCTTTAGCCCAGTGCCTGTTAGACAATGATAGCCACCCTGATACTTTTATATAATATTATCATTTCATGTGCATGAAACCTTGAGATGTGGGTAGTATTTCTCCCTCTTTAACAACATCAAAACATAAGGAAGTGCAAATCAAAATAAGACACTTCATTCCTTTTTATCTATTAGTAAATAATTAGAAGTTGGACTATGTTTGGGGTATACAAAGCACTTTCACAGCTCATTGGTGTGGAAGCTGGAACATACAGCTTTTCAGGAGTGGTCTGACAATACTTACCAAAAACATAACAACTGGGCGGACTACAGTGGCTCCCACCTGTAATCCTAGCACTCTGGGTGGTCAAGGAGGGAGGATCGCTTGAGGCCAAGAGTTTGAGACCAGCCCAGGCAACACAGCGAGACCCCGTCTCTACAAAAAATAGAAAAATTAGCTGGGTGTGGTGGCTCTCCCCTGTAGTTCCAGCTACTTGGGAGGCTGAGGCGGGAGGACCACGTAAGCCCAGGAGTTTGAGGCTGCAGTGAGCTATGATGACACCAATGCACTCTGGGCCAGGCGACAGAGCAAGACTCTAAAAAAAAAAAAAAAAAAAGACACTCACCCATCAACATATTAACAGTGTCTCCAGTGGTCGGATTAAAGAGATCTTTGTTTTCTACTTTGTACTCTTCGATATTTTCTGAACT